GCAGGGGGCGGCCCCGCCCCGCCCCGCCCGGGGAGCAGCAGCCGCGCCGGACCCCGGCCCGCGGGGAGGAGCGGAGCGCCGGCGGGGGAGGGAACTGTCCGAGCCCCGGACGGCTCCCATGGCCCTGATTAGCAAGGAATCCCTCTGCGCTCTCCCCACCGCGTCCTGTGCGGCAGGGAACACCGTGGGTCCCTCTCTGCCCCGACACACACACCTGTAGGACGGGCATGCACAGCCCCTCAGCTGCACGCCCTCCCGTCCCTTCATGAAGCCGGMTGGAAACGGGCCCGGCACCGCCAGCAGCCACAGCTCGGACGAGCCCGGGCAGGCGCACGGATCGATGGCCACTGTTGGCCGGGGTGGCAAAGACCTCAACATGGAATCACGGAAGCACAGCATCAGTTATGTTGGAAAAGACCTCTGAGATCATTGAGCCCAACCTATGATCTAACACCACCATGTCAACTAGACCATGACACTAGCTGCCACATCCAGTCTTTCCTTAAACACCTCCCCATGTATTCTCATGTGGTTCTCTGATGTTGCAAGAGCATCATTCTTAGTTTTGGTCTACGGTTCACCAGACATTTTTATGGAACCAGTTTTGCAGATACACTGTAGCTACACAGTAACAAAAGAGACCATCATAAAGTTCAAAATTGCATTCTTTAACAAACCTCCAACCCAACAACTTAAGTGTATCTATTTATATTAAACAACTTTTCAATATGTAACACTTCTCCTGAGCATATCTGCTTCTTTGGGTCATCAGACATGTGAAATACATTTGACTTTTACAATCAACTTGTGCTTCTGCCTCATTTCTGGATAGAGTAGAAGTTCTCCACAGTCCCACAACCCACCCTGATGCCCCAGTCCTTCCAAAAGTGGGAACAGAAATTCATATTCTTTTGTATATGGATAGCCATGAAAGCAATTGACACTTAATGCTTCCCTTAGCAGCTATAAAGAAAATTGTTAGCTGGCCATGAATCTATCCTCACTCAAGTAACATCCTAGAGTAAGAGGAGAGTCTGCACCAGTGYTGAGAGAAGTCATACACATAGGAACACAAAAGAGTTCTATTTAAAAATACAGATACAGCACATACACTTAAGAATAGACAACTGTGCCCAAGGCTTGTGCAGATTCACGCATGTGTGGGCGCTAGTCTGGATTTCCAGAGCCAACAGATRAAAAGTTACTTAAAGGTACACACCCCACCCCAAATGCTACAAGGATGGGAAACAATCTTAAAAATGGACACTTTAGCCATAGATCCACTTAYGTTACATATTAAAGGTGGTGAAAAATTACATATGAGATTTGATCACCCTGCTTTATATAATGAGTAATCATTCTCCTAGTGTTGTACTTGGGCTTTAACTGTGCATTTTCCTCCCTTTCTTCAGAATTTTTTCCATATTCAGTGATGTTAGTCTCCGTGCATTTATTTTTAATCAGCCCTTGAAGAGCACACTTTTCATGCCTAGATTCCACATCTATTCCAGTCTATTTTTATGTGCTTTTAACACACTCTCCAGAAGAATCTAAATCATGTCATTCGCACTGCACTCACCAGACTTAGCTGGATAGCTCCCTACCTTTTTGAAAAATCTGTAGTGAGACATGAGACATCTTGTGGTGAATTCTGCCTAGCACAAAGTTTATTTTCCCCATCTCTTTAGCACAGTCTAATACYCATTCCATACATAAAAATCTTAATCCTGAAAATTGCATATAGACACCCTCATTGTTAGGATACACAGCCTGATCCAAAGACCAAAGTCAAAAGCAGGACTGCAATGAGCACAAGACTCAGCTCTCAGAGGATGCCCCAGAGACATGCTGGTGGCATACTTCTTTCAAAAATTGGCAGTGAGAAAAATCAACCTTTTTTTTCCAGAAACCAGCTGATAAAATAGTCCTGCATTTTGCTATCATAAAGCAACTTCTSTTTATTGATACACCAATGAAGATAATGCAGATAGTAATTAGAGGACATAAAATGTCCTGTTTTTACAAAACTGTTTTGAAGYTACAGTCAAAATCCCCAAAGGATTTTGGAAAGGATCTCCATAAGGAAGTCYTAATTGAATATCAAGGAGCCCAACTACAAAATTTTAAAGCAAAAGGTATATAAAAAATTCTTCTTTTTTTTCTTTGAGAGCTCTCTAAATTTTTTGGCTGTTTCTGAAAATAATAATGAACTGTGTATTTATTTTTATACAGATAAGACCTGCTCTCATGCTGTGAACCCTTCTCCTATTTTAAAGATTTTTTTTTTTTCCTCTTAGAATAAGTCTGAAAGGCTTGGTTTATTGCAGCTGATAAAGTTAAGTTAAAATCTRCATTAGCTTCTGTCTAATTTGCACCAGTTTGAAAACAAACCTGCACTTGATGCTTTCTACTGTTCTCCTCATAGAGGTTGACTGTTGTAACATACAGACTGCTATTTGGTATAAGGGTTGGAATGCAAACATAAGGCAGGTCCAAACTCCACAAGATGCTTGGAATATTACAAAACCAGGCAATAATACTGAATACTGCTTATTCTAATATCGATAAACACATTTCTATTGATGCAGATGTATTTTATAAGCATGACCTGCGCACCAGTGACCTGCCTTCATGAATACACTTGGCTGATCAAGTAATAGCAGTGACAGCTTTTTATTATAATGAACATGATGTCCACGGCCTGCACAGTTGAATATGCGAACATATATTAAATCAAACAAATACAAGCATAAGAACTCAATCCCCAGTGACTAATGCAACCAGCTAAATATATTCTGCAACCACAGTGATATGCATGCCAGAAGAATGGCTGAGAAAAGCCCAGAACCCACTTTTGTTTTGTTTCAGAAGGCTATCCATACATAAAATTGTCAGYTGAAACTCAGATAACTGACAGACTTGTTTTGAAATTAACTGCCTTGGGAGTAGTGCCACTGATCTCAGAGCAAGAGTTCCCCTGATATTCCTCATGGGTTTATCTTGTTCTTTTCCTTTGCTACCTAATTTCAAGTGAAATTTCAGCTCAGGAGACACGATGTAGAGCAGGGCAGACTAGAAGAAACTTTAGACAAACTATTTTGAAATTCTTTGCAATCATGACCTTTATAAAAAAATTATTTCAAATTCCAAACTCAATTCACTAACCTTTCACATCCTTACATCACCACTGCTTATAGAATTTTATAGTTATAAACCATTGCTATGACAAATGGCAGTAAAGAAACAGAGCCAACCCAACAAAGCCTTCTCAATGGGAAGAAAAACAAGAAATTATATCAAATCATCACATTATTTTTTATCTTTTCTCTTTACCTCTTTCATGCTTTATCAGTGTCAGCCCTTGAAGCCCCATGACTGTCTCGTTGTTACATCCTCACACTGCTACACTAATACACTAACCCAGCCCTTCCTGAGAGGAATGTTGCATCTGTGTTGATGGTACAGTAGGGAAGAGACAGAATGGACTATAATTTCTACAGATGTTAAGAGATAACTAAAAAGACATTTTAATGGATAAAGTGAATTGTTTAATAATATGCTGTGATAGAAGTCCTAAACCCCAGGACATTTACTGCTAAAATTTATGCTTGTAGGACCATATTAATGCAAGAAAAAAATAATTTCCTAGCAGCTGGAGCAGCATCAGCACAGAATCGGAAATGGGGGCTTGCCCAGAACACTTGGAGGACGATTCAAATAACTTAGGCACCAAATAYAAGCTTTTCCCATGGTCTTAGTATGTAGTTCCCAGAGAGACAACTCCATTAGGTGACTAAGCTCTACTACATTAGGGCAGGATGAATCATCCACTGAAAATGTCATTCATTATATCCTAAGAAATACCAGCCTCTCATGATACCATTTGCAAGGGTATTGACGATTACCTTAGACTAGCACCCTTCATTTAAAGGGCTGTAGTGAGATGCCATCAATCCTACTCTTAACTTTCACTCACACACAGATAAACTAGCTCTGAAATAGGAATTGTACATTACAAGAGCCAAACAGGGAGAAWAAATGGCCAAATTAGCAGCAGCATAAGCATTAATACTGTATTTGTACTTCAGTATTATGTAAAGCTGGACCCTATTTTTCATAGAAGATAACATTCTGCCCCARTAAGCTTGGGCACCTCATTCAAAGCAGTGCAAGTATATGAGAGAGCGAGCAGATGGAGATGAAACAAATGAGGAGGAGGACAAGGCAGCAATGAAATGATTGMATTTGATATAATGAGCAGCAGTCACAGCACATTAGTTGTCTAGTCAGTATTTACATCAATAACACAATTAATCTTAAAACTGCTTTCTGTATTCAAATTAAGAAGTGTTATTGCAAGTTATTGCAAGTTCTTCATAGGTTATACCAGAAACTTGGGATACCAGAGGGACACCATGTGCCAAAGGCCAGTATATTCTGAGAATTAAAACTGGTATTAGCATATCGTCCACTATATTCATAATAAAAAATYACAGACACAGTTTTGTCAATGTGAAATGACATAAAACACTAGTACTTGAAAGCTCAAATAATAATTACTTAATCTTACCGAAGATCAACTTAGGAAAAAGCCTACCACTCAGAAAATTACTACCACAGCTATGAAGTTATTTTCATTGATAAATGTATTTTTGGTAACTGCAATGCTATACAAACTGAATGTAAACATGGGAATCTTTGGCATAATTGGTGAAATAAAAATCATATGACTAATCTCAGAATATTGAAATAAACTTACTCCTCTCATTCACCCAGAATTCTTATAATTTCTT